AGATGAGAACACTAGAATGAACTCTGTTTATCACCTACTGAATTAAATCAGTACTTGTTTGGCCAAGCAATATAATTATAACCAGAGTTCTAGAATAGAACCTAAGATTTTCTCACCTCAAATACAATCTTCCCAAATAATTCAAATTATTGGGGAAAAATACAACTTTAAATTTTTAAAGAGTCTACCACTTAACACTCAAATGTGTTATAACAACTCCTCTAAACATAAGTAAAAATGTGTCATTACTTTCTGTTTCAAAATTACCTACCCAAATCCCTCTTATATTTTGATCCGTACTTTGATTGCTCAATTGTAGCACATGTTGTTCTGGCGGGCATATACAGTTTTTTTCCTGTTTTAAAAAAGTTCAAAACAGTTTATAATGATTATGAAATAAAAGGTAATACTATTAGATTTCAAATTGGGCAAAAGCCTTGCACTGTCATGTCTATGACAGTTTGCCAAGGCACAAAAACTTCACAGAATTTTTCCTCTATTAAGTACATCTTAATAGAGTACTATTATTAAGTACTATATAAGTACTATTATTAAGTACTATAAATACTTTGTATTGTGACCTAACCCCAAAACTCCAACTCAATTTTTTTTTCCCAATATAAGCTGAGAGGAGAAGGCATTCAATGGACAATCTGAATTCTCTAATCTGAATTGGAGAGGCAAGCAATGAAAACAGTTGCCTAGAATTTTTGCTAACTTTATTACAAATCATTTGGACCTTTTCCCAAAATTCAACACAGTATTATAATATAGAATGTCATCAAAATAATGTAAAGACCCTAGATAGATTACTTCTATTACACAAAGTACAATTTTCCATTGAAAATTTTTTTCTCAAAAATGAAAGGTGACTAAACAGCCATGTGATTATTCTAGTTACTACTGAAAATGTAATTAAAATTAATTAAAAATGTTACTACTGAAAATGTAATTACTTCTTCAGTATTAAAAACATAAGTACTCTTCAAGTCAAGTGACATAATTTACAACTGCCTTTGATGTATCAGTATTGCAGATAGGTAAATTAATTAGATATCTTGTAGGCAGTTAGACAGGGCCCCCCTCAAAGCACCAGCCCTCAAGGAGCCAACACAGGGAGGAGGCAACATGAACAATTGAGGCTCATCTACCGGTTAGCATTATAAAAAAGAAAAGAGGTACTACTTCCCCCAGACACAGATAGCAGTGATTGATATTCTAAATGGGAAATTCCTTGTATGTGGCTTATTTTCCCATGTGATCCCCATTTAATCAATATTACCTGGGTGACTGTACTTGTAATCTTATTGGTTGGTCATGGGTTTGTCCCACCTGGTGCCCACCTTGTAATTTTTCATTGGGTCTTACAGTTTTGTTCCACTTTGTACCTGTCTCACCTCATGTCTTTGCCATATAAAACACCTTTGAAAAGCAATGGGTGGGCAACCCGTTTTCCCGTCCCCCTTCTCTCTCTTTTAGCTTTCTTTCTCTCAATTTTTTCCTACTCTTAACTTCTGTTGTTCCTAGAATTCATTCTTCAGTTTTAAAGAACACGAACTCACATTCTGGATATCTAGCAGATTTGGGAGTTACATTTATACCCCTCATATATCATCAGGATATGTACTAGTAAAAATTTCCCTGCAAGTACCAAATAGGACTACCAGGAAACATTATTTATTTCTTGTCACCAAAAAGAAACTTATTTTCCTTCCAAAAGAGACAGTCAATTGTTCATAGTTATGTTCCATGTTGTATCAACAAAGATCATGCTTCTGGAAGCTGCAGCAGGAGGACCTCAAGCCCAAAGCCAGCCTGGGCGAAGTAGTAACACCCTAACACCCTGCCTCAAATTTTAAAAATTTAAAGAGGGGGTGCAACTCAGTATGAGGGCCTAGGTTCAATCCCTAGAACTGCAAGAAGAAAACAAAAAACATTTTAAAAGTATATGTATTTAGTATTAAATAGATTTTTATTTAAAAATGTGGATGTTTCATCAGGACTCAACAGATGACGTGTAAAGTTACCATGACTGCATTTTTTAGCTTTAGTTGTAAGAGATTTAATACTTAGAAAACAAGAAAAAAAAATGGTCAAAAATAAAAGTATGTCATATTTGAAAGAATCAGGTTGAACTATCATAACTTAAAAATGACGATGCATTTCACATAACACTGAAAAAATGTGCAGAATGTTTTATTTTAAATCTGCAACAATCTCCTGAAAAGTTCCTCAGTGTGACCATTCCTTCTCCAGAGATTCATCCAGCACTTACAGAGGCCTGCATTTAAATATATATTCATTTGTAACTATTTTCTCTTTCCAAGGCACACATAAGTCTTAACCAGTTCTTCCAAGAGTTAAAAATGAAACTTCATTTCTTCTCTACGAGAAATACACTGTAATTTGGAGAATATTTTTAAAATATCGGCTGAATCCACGGCATCTCTTTATACTGTCAGTTTTAAACTATTCAACACAGTATTATATATCACTAAATTGAGTGAATCAAGACTAATTCATAAAGACAATCATACTTCTTAGAACTTTATAAAACATGGTACAAATGTGTAAAAGGAAAAATATTGTTACTCCATCAGCTATTTTTCTTCTGGTTTGATACTATCATTGTATAATCATCACATTAAATTGTTACTAGCTTGCTTCTCAGTAATCTGAAGTCAATTTTATGGACACTATGCTAATAAGTATCCTGGTTAGAAAAATAACATTTCATAGCTACAGAAACCACAACAGCAGGCAATTTACTCAATATGGCCATCAAGACAAAATCAGAAGCTTTGTTCCTCTACCTTTTATTTCAAGCAGAAAATAAATCAGTGAATATTTTTTCAAGAGATAAACAAGGAAAAATTTTTTAACTATGAGCAAATGAGACATATTTATTTTTTCCCTCCATAAATATTCACTATTCCTCAACAGAAGTCTGAATGGTCTTAACACTTAAGCAGGGGCCGGGGATTTAGCTCAATGGTTCCAGCGCCTGCCTTGCAAGCGCAAGGTCCCGAGTTCGATCCTTGGTACCAAAATAAATAAATTAATAAATAAAAATAAAAATAAGAGCCGGGAATTTAGCTCAGCGGTTCCGCCGCCTGCCTTGAAAGTGCAAGGACCCAAGTTCGATCCCCAGTACCAAAAAAAAAAAAAAAAAAAAAAAAAAAAAACCTTAAAAAAACACTTAAGCAGTATTTTATCTTTTGCACAGCAAAATATACCTTTTTTTCACTTATGACAGTCATAATTCTAATTTTTCCCTTTGTCACAGACTACACCATTTTCATGTCACAAAATATACTGTCAGAAAGTATAATGAATTCAAAACTACACTTAAAATCTTTTTATCTCAACTAGAACACAAAACTGTGCTAAATTGTGTTTGTTCACTTCAACCAGTCATCTTCAAATTATCCTTTTCTTCTTTTATTCTGTTTCTTTTCCCACCTCCAAGTCTCAGAGCCTTAAAGAAATGAGATATTATTCTTAAATACTAAATCCTCCACTTGCCTTTTTACTAACTTCTTCCAACAAACTTTTCAACCTCATTTCTTTCATTAGTCTTCAAAGTCTTCATTTTCAACACATATTACCAAAAATAATTCAACAAGTATTTTTTGAGCATCAATGATGTTCAAACAAATAACTTCAAAATAATAGTACTTGTTAGATACACACCTCTGGATGCTGGAAACACACTTGGTCCAACCTGGAGACCAGAGGAAAAAAGGAGGCAGATTCTGAACTAACTCTTCTACGACCAGAATAAGTTAGGCTAAGAAGAGAAAGGTTAGAAGGGATTCCTGAGAGACCAGCAAGTGTATGAGAACTTCAAATCATTCTATATTATTATTACAGTGCAAAATGGGAAGAGAAAACAGCAGAAAATGAGGCTGGAGACACAGATAGGGTCAAGTCATAGTTTCTCTTGAACTTGGACATAAGCAATGGAGTCTGTCTCATACATGTAAAATTTCTGTCACCTATTACCTGTGAGATATGTTCTCAACTGTGTGAGATAGTAGTGAATGGGCTTTTGGGGGTTGTTTCTCAATTCTGACCAGGTCTATAAACAAAATCAAAAATTCTCTTTGAATACATATCAGTAATCAAACTGCTCAAATCCATAATGCTTATACAGTATCTTATCTTGAGGGGCAGTACAGCATGAATCCAGGGCCCTGTGCCAGCAAAACATGCACTTTACCACTGAGCTACACCCTTGGCCCTATATTATAGTTTTTAAAAACCACAATGAGATATGAAGTTAACTGAATATACTATTAAAAATTCTGAGCTATATTAGGACAGCGTATTTACATCATGAACAAAAACTACAGTCCTATATATATTTCCATATATATTTATGTGTGTATCTGTATATGTCTCCAAAGTATCTTGCTTTTTTTTTTTGGTATGGGAATTGAACTCAGAGCCTTGTGCTTGCCAGGCAGGTGCGGCGCCACTGAACTACATCCCGGGCCCTCCCAAGCACTATTTTGTACTTTGTTTTTGGAGAAAAAGAGTTTGGCATATGGTAATAATCCTCTTGCCCAAAACTTTATTTGAAAGAGGGAGAAAAGGAAAAGAAAATTTCACTAAATGGTAAACTTATCAGTAACTAGGAACAGTATTTTATCTTAAAAAATGAGGCCTCCAGTAACACTAAGAAATCATAAAACAAATGACTATGCCCACTTAAAATTCTACTTTTATAAAAATACCTGTTATTCCATATTTCAAAGCCATGAATGCTGTATGAAATGCTCATCAAAGGATATATAACTTAAAAATCCTTTACCTAGAACTCTGAATTAAAATAATGTGGCTAGTAAAAATATATGCTGTTTTAACCACATTAAAAAGAATCAAAGCTAAATTTTATTTTCTTATTTTCCATCTCTGATTAAGCGAAGTTAATATATTATCAATAAAAATTTTCAGTACATGTCTATTAAAATATAAAGAAAGGAAAGAAAACTTACTTGTATCTGCTTGGCTTCCCACACTGATATATCTATCATTCCCAGGAAGTGCTGTTTGGTAGTAAGTTGTCTCCTCCTGTTGAGGGGTCTTGGCATTCTTTGCAGTAAGGAAAGCCACTGCTAATTCCAAGTTTCCATTACTATCCTTCAAATATCAAGACAGGAATATCCAATGTTTTGGAATAATTCTATACATTTTCACAAAATTTATACAATTTTCTTCATAATAACTAATACTTTATAGTAAAAAACACCTTGATTTGAAGTTATTCTATAGGTGACTAATTGGAGAATATAAATTTATCACATACAGGTATTCTATCTTAATAGTAACTCCTTTACTAATTGAAACTGCTAATATAAAATTCAATTCTCTAATTTCTTCATTTTCCATCCACTTAACATGACTCAATCACAAATGTACCTTTTAAAAAATGTATAAACCACAATTTTTTTTTTGGAGCTCAGCACAGTAAGAGTAAAATGAGTATTTAATATAGTACTTCTGCCAACAAGGATAATAAAAGTCTCTATATTCTGAATATTGAATGCATATCTGAGGGAAAATTAAGCAAAATGTCAAGGAATAGGAAGAAAACAGCAAAAGGTTTTGAAGTTTGTTGATAGTACAGACAGACACAGAGAACACCTAGACAGCAATACTGTACTGAATATTATAAAGATGAAACACTACTAAAATTTATACAAAACTTTTATTTAGTTCTCATCAAAAGCACAGCTGGGCAAAATATTATAATATTCATTAAGAACAAAATGATACTAAGGATTTTTAAAGCAAAGAAAAAAGTGACTTGTCCAGTTGTAAATTTACATTGTCTACATTATTAATGGTAAATAAAATACAATACTAGCTCTAAAACAACTAAATGAAACAACACAAGAAACCCAGACATTAATAATAATGTCCTCTATAATAAAAGGCCAGGATATGAAAGGCCCTAAGAAATTCAACATAGATGTGAGTGTGAAAGGAGGCCGGTGGAGGGTTTGGAATAGGAATCCCATGGTATGATTTATATATTTTAAAAGGATTATTTTGGCTGAATGTTAAGAATACACAACTAGAGAAAAAGAGAAGAAGAGAGAGTACATTATTGCACAACATTAAATGTAGAACCTAACAGGAGGATCTGGATGATTCTAAGATTTGAAGCCTAAATAACTAAAACAATGGAGTCCCCAAAACCCATCCTTACTCTAATTCTAGCAACGGTGAAAAAAAGGTAGTTAAAAGTACAGTTTGCAAAGCACCACTGCTTTAAAATGTCGCCTTCAAGGGCCAGGGTTTTAGCTCAGTGGTTCTGGCGCCTGCCTCCCAAGTGCAAGGTTCTGAGTTCGATCCCCTGTACCAAAAAAAAAATGTTGCCTTCATGACCATTATAAGATTCTTAAATGATGCACTCAAAACATGGATGTGTGGTTTGGATCTACCATGTTCCCCAAAGACCATGTGCTAAAAGCTTCACTGCCAGCCAATGAGTTTTTGGAAGGTGACTGGATCATCTGGGTTCTAACTTCACTGGTGCAATTAATCTAGTAACAAATTCATAATTTCATGTGATTATTGGTAAGTGATGGAAATTTAGGAGGTGGGGCCTAAGTAAAAAGAATAGCTCACGGGCACGTCCTCTGTCTGTCTGTTTCTCCTCCCTGCCATTCCTTACTAACTGCCATGAAGTGAGAAGCTTTCCTCCCCACTGCACTTCAGCAATGATGTTTCTACCTCTCCATAGGCCTAAAAGCAATGGAGCTGGTATACCATGGACTAAAATCTCTCAAACCACAAACCAAAATAAATTCAGCCAAGAATGGTGACACACAGAACTTTGGGAGGCTGAGGCAATAAAACAGCAATTTCAAGCACTGCCTGGGGAATTTAGTGACTTCATGAGGTCGTGTCTCAAAGTAAAAAATAAAGAAAAGTTTGGGGATGTATCTGGGTTCACTCCCTAACACCACAAATAAATAAATAAATAATTCCACCATTAAGTAATTTTTCTCAAGTACTTTATCCCAGCAAAGCTAACACAATGGGCATAATACATTTTTCAGTAAGTAAACTAATCAAACATAAATCACGATGAGGATGGATAATATTTGACAATTCACCATGTGCCAAGATATGTATGTGGTAAGTACTTTTATAACTATTTCATACAATAAAAAATAAATACAGCAAAAATTTCACAACCTGAAAGTCATTTACTTTGCTGGGCTAAAAACAAATTCCCAAATTGAAAGTGTTGAAATCAATCAGGGACATTGTGGTTCCCAAAAGTAAACTTCTTTTCTGTGTATTATTAAGATAATCAACTCACTATTATACAATACAAATTTATAATCAGCAACAATTAAGGTTTAATATACTGCTTTCCCCCAATCACTACAACTGAAACAGAAGTTTGGAAAAAACAAAAAGACCAATGTTCACACAAAATCAAAGGAAATGTGGACATCACTTAATTGGATCTATACTTCTGAAGTTTAAAGAAAAACAGTGACTTCTCCAAATTTACCCTGGCAAAGTGATGGGCTACAGCTCATACTTTGTGATATACTGGGAAAGGCACTTTCTGAAAATAGACACAGAATGATTTAGTCATGATGTTTATCAGAATCAAGGACTGACAATCACTAAAATGTCATCATTATAAAAGACTGAGGTGCAATACTTCTGTTTCCTCTCCAGTGGCTTTATAATTACTACAACAATGCCCTAGATAGCACCACTTCATCATCTTCCTTACGGGGAAGTAAGGTAAAACAAAACTTCTAGTAAAAGGAAGAGAAAGTCGGTGTAGCACCTGAGATCAGGCTGCTAAGGCTTCTATTCCAAGCTCCAATGCATACTGGCTGTGTGATCTTGGGAGAGTTAATCTAACCTCTGTTTCCCCATCTTTAAAAAGGGGATTAAAAATAATATTTATCTCACAGAGTCATTATGATGATGAGTTAGCCCCCATAAAGCACTTAAAATAGTCCCTAGTATTATTTAATAAATGCTAGATATTATCATTATGATTTTGATTATAGTTACCTAGAAGATAAATTACTTCTACAAAGAACTTTTGGTTCAGAATCAGGAATTACATAATTAACTTTGGCTCATAAATTAAACTGCAAAAGACTGAAGCTACATAAAAGACTATAATGACAAAAATGCTATAGTGCTTTTAGCTTTTAATAGCAATATACAAATAGATTTATAATATGGGTCTGTTGAACATCTTACATTCATTTGATCTTTCTCACTGTGAATTACTCATGTCATTTGACTCATCTTGGCATGTGTGTGGAAATGCAAGTATATCTAAGATAAAAGGAAAATGATGCACTTTATTTATTACACATACTACACTTAGGTTTGAAGAAGAACACTCTTAAAGTGTAATTAGTTGCATGGAAGAAACTTATATTTCTTCTTCTTGGAAGGAAAAAAATGTAAGTTTCTGACTCTGCACTAATTTTCTACATTTCCATCCACCACCACCTTCTCTAACCCACCTCACGTTTAACTTCATTTTAAAATCTAAAATCACAGCTTTTGAGTAAAATAATACATTACCATTAAGATTCATACTCCACCATTTTGCAAGAAAAGCTCATCATAAAGAATTAGGTGTTTTCCTAGGTATCATGGAACACTGCTCTGCTAAAAGATAACAGCTCCAAACTGTAGCACATTAAGGGAGGTTCTCACTTGACAGAAGTCCATTCAACTATCCCTACTACTACTACGTGATATACCTAAAAAACTCAACTTTCAACTACAGTACACACAAGTGTAAACCACAAACTCTATGTCATGAAACAAAGGGCATACCTTCAAGGCTTGCTGCAGTATCTGGGTATCATTAATCCCAGTAATTTCTCTCAGTTGATTCAAAAATGTCTGCTGGTGCTAGAGGAAAGAAAAAAACAAATCATTATACTATGAACTTTGAAAATATACAAGAAAAAATAAAATGTTTTATTTAAGTAAAAAGCAGAATGAGATATTGAACAAATTCATTCTTTAGAATAAATGAACCTTGAGATAGAAAGCCCTTACTCCATTCTCGTGCTTCTAAAGCTGAAATTCTACATCACTGCCCAAGAAGTCTCCCTGAATTAACAGTTTTAAACTGTTCTTCACCCTTTCTTTTATGCCTCCAAGATGAAAAGGAATAAACTACACGTTGGTTAAACCATAGGGGAACACCTGGGATGTTTGAAAAAGAGTGGTTTAACAGGCCATGCACTATGCAGGTAATTTTACATAAGCGCCCTAAAATAAATAAATAAATAAATAAATAAATAAATAAATAAATGTTTAAGGGTGGGGGAGGATCATTTCATGCTCCAATCTAACTTTCTTATTTCATGGTCTCCTCTTCCAACATCTTGTGCAAGTTCAAGGTAGGGTACAGGGAAGGGCAGAGGATAAACAATGTCTGCCTAATGAATGTTCCATCTGTACCAGGCCGCACCTAGAGACTTCTACTTTATGCCTCAATGAGCAGAGCCAAGTTGCATGGCACACTCAGCTGCAGGAGGTCAGAAGATAAATTTTCAGCTAGACAAAAAGTCGCCTTGAAAATGAAATCAAGGTTCTGCTAATTTAAAAAAAAAAAAAACCCTCAAGAACGTTGGTATTTACCAACACTGGTGGCATCTATGACACTGATTGTGTCTACCATGCCATCAAAGAACTTCATTTTCAAAAAAATCTTACTGAAGAGCTGAGATAGCCAAGATCATCCAATAATAATACATAATAAATACATAAACAGTCATATAAACTACCAGGATGTATCAAAACAATAGAATGAAAAAATGAAACTGTCAAATTTACAGAGCTGAAATAGGAAAAACAAAATTCTCTTTAAACTTACCAACTTTTCATCTTTCATTTTGAAAACTACCAAAAACTAACGACAGTATCATGGTTAGGTTAGGCAATATCCAAAATTATGAACTAAAGACATATAACTGCAGAAATTCTTTTGACCTAATTCAATATTTTCGTTTAACAAATACAACATACTTCAAAAACTTCACAAACCTATTTGCAATCTCACTGCTACCAGCAAACCAAACACCATTATTTACATGAAATATTTTTTTTTCAATTTCTAATTATTCAATCGTGGACCTGGGAGAAAACACAGCATATTCCCAGGAATGTAGTCATTTGTGCAGATTTTGCTGGCTAATATTTATAATGCTGAAAAAATGGAAATAATGCATGTGTTCTTCCAGTAAGGAAGGAGTTCTCAAACTAATGTGCATAAGATATAGATTCCGAAGTCTTACCTACAGAGATTGTGGCTCCAGGGGTAAGTACAGTATTTCAAACAATTTTGATAGATGGAACTAGAAACAGATTGAATTAAAGCAAACAGCTGTATTTTAAATGAATATACAATATTTATAGAATTTTACCTTTACAAAATCATATGATGCTAAAGTGGTAGAATATAAAATAATAAAGGAGTATATGAACACATTCATGACTACACGGTAAAATCCAGACATGGATGTAGAACCAGAGAAGACTGCACTGCATGTACTAGACTCCAAATTCTTCTCCTACTCCATCACCATTTCCACTGAAGACATGATACATTTCTTTTGGCATTGAAAATGGTCTTTGATCAATAGCATGTGAAAGGATAGCATGCAAGCAGACATGAAATGTACTTGCATGGTTAGGATTGCTCTTTTGAATTTCTGCACCATCTTTAATAAGATGACTTGCACAGCCCACTTACTCTAGAAGAATGTAGAACATGTGGAGTCAATTGTCCCACAAGAAATCTGAGCACCAAAATAGTATTTCAGTACTGTATAAAACTAAGTTTTGAGATGGCTTGTTATGTCAACAGTTGACTGATACAATAAGAATACTGAGAAGCAACATCTCTGAAATATTATAGTTGTGTAGCTTTTTATTTTTCATGATAAAGTTGGCCAGATAATTTAGGAAAAAAATCAGGTGTATATCTAGCATGCTTTATTTTCATAAATTTTTCCTGAAAATGAAATAGTGAAGAGAAAATGTTGGGGAAGAGAAAGAAATCTGGGTGGTTGAAAAGGTAGAAAGAATATGCTTAGCTAAAGTGGCAAGAAATGGTAGAAATCAAAAGGTGAGAAAAATCCTAATGTAAAGGATGGATGCCACCTCACTTGGAAAGTTTTCCCCTTTATTATTAGCCAGCTGTGCTTTTCTCATCACTGAAAACTTGTGTCTTCCTTCCCTGAAATTCATTTAGTTGTGGTGATGGTTGTTCTTGCTATTTCTGTTGTGATTAAGATTGTCTGCCTTTCAAGCTTCGTACCTTTCCATTTATCAAACGTCTGGTCTGCAATATACTACCCTGATCCTCAACATACTACATATGGCTCTATCCTCTTAACTAGCAATTTCAGATCTAAACTGAATACAATTCAATCTACTTCCATCAATCTCCAAGATCCTCCTACTATGGAATTTGTATTTATTAAGTAAAAGGAGGGTTGAACCTGTTTGTACTGCTCAACCAAGAAGGGTAAGACACAACGTCTAAAGATATTTGGTTGCTTGCAAGTACCACAAAAATCAATAAGTAAAAAAGTCAAGACTACATATAGGCCTTCAGATTCCTTCATGAATTTTTTTACTGCACAATGACATCCTTAACATCCTACTATGTGCAACATACAGTAATATGTACTTCAAGAATAACAAAGCATCCAGTAGCAATTTCAACATAAATTAACAATCAGTGGATTTCACCAAAATTCTTTCTCTCCCCAGTTGACCCGACCTAATGGTCTTTTAAAAATGTGTTCCAGTAAAAAAGACAACATATATTAACACCACTATAACTTTTTGAAGATGCAAAAAGGGGAATCATTGATTTAAGGAAAGATGATAAAGCATTTCTCATACCCTTATTTTACAAGACTGTTTGAAATGCTTCCAGTATATAATTTCACACAATACACACACACACACACACACACACACACACACACACACACTCTCTCTCAGAAGTTATTTTCATTTTATAGCTAACAGAGACATCAACCAAGAGATTAATATTAATAAATATGCAGAGGTAGGAATGACACTAGATCTTTCAAATTCTATAGTCCATATCCTTCATGCATTTTCTCAACTCCAATTAGTCAGTGAAAAATGAAAACCCTGTTATGTTAACATAAAATATTTAGGTAATGCTATGAGAAAACGAAATCATTACTGGCTACAAAGCAGAAAAAAATTTTGTGCTAACATCTGAGTGACTTAGGGTTAGGGTTAGGGTTAGAGTCAGGGCATAAATCAAAGTAAGTCACTGACTCCTTCAGGTCAATTTCCAAATATAAAGAAACATGGTTTTAGTACAAAGGAAGCCAAAGGTTTCCATCCTGGAGAAAAGTAAGAGCAATTCTTAGGAATGACTTCTAAAACAAAGCCTTCAAATTTTCCAAGAATACAAAAAAAAAAAAACTTGATACAAAATCCTGAAGTTCTTAAACTTCAGGATTATGTGTACTAAAGTGCTGACAAGCACTAACAGGCATTTCTAAGTTAACTATCCAAAAAAGAATACATTAATTCTGTCACCAGACAGGATCTTAGGAGGTCCCCCAAAAAGGAGATAGGGATTCTAACTCAGACCACCGTGTAGGCTCTTGACTCTCACATCAAAGAAAAAGAATTTCAGTATGTATCAGTGTGAGGAAGAGGCAGATTTATTTATTACATAGAACAGAAAGTAAGGGAGAATAGAAAAAGCACCCCGGCTTGAGTCACTGGAGTCAACGCTCTGGTGCAGGGGTTCAAACTGGCCTACTCACAAAAGAACAAAGCCAGTATTTACAGATTTTGGCAAGGTGGGCCAGGGTCCAGTCAATCATTATATCATTTCTGGTTTAATAGTTATGGAGGAATCCTTGCAACTTGGTGGGAAATTTGGTTCCCATAAGATCACTACTCTTGCATGGGTGGTTAAGGACAGCACCTACCTAGGTTTTCATCATAGAGCAATTGCTCCTGCTTGTGGGAAGGTGATCTCATCATGCAGTGGTCTGCAAGGCTTTGATTTTCATGGAGCCTCAGGAGATTGTAGGTTTGGAGACTTCTAGAGATCACTGGAGGTAAAGGGTACAGAACTGGACTTGTAAAAGCTGGCAGTTTGAGTGTCACTGAAAACCCCGAAAATCACTTCAGATACTCTTCATTTGGTGTCCTCACTGTTCAAAGAGGGTAAGCTAGACTAGGTAAACTTAGGGCCAATAAACCTTAAGTGATCATCATGCCTATGTGTAGAGTGAGAAGGGGCCTGACCAAAAGTTTTAAGGTAATAAAGGAAACAAAAAAAAAGAAAAGAACAGTTTTGTTGTCTCCTTTCTAACTTTATTTCCTTTATCCTACCTTAATTTTGCTTGCTGCCACAATGAGCAATCACACATACATTTATTTTTGCAAATACTTTGTGCACCTACTGAAAACTGTTCTACTTGTGTTATTTCACAACAAAAAATCCATAAAATTCAGAATTTCAAATACCCTATCCTTTGTAAGGGCAAAGGAAAGTTCCCTTCTTCCCTCTGAGGGTTAAATAGAATAAACTAAGTCAGGTAAAAGAGGAGAAAAGATATTCTAATTCATTAACTAGTAAAAGGAGGGGGGAAAAATCACAGCATGGGGAGAAGACACAGAAATGTGATCACCCACTAGCCCAACACAACTTAGAAACTTTTCTACACCTTTTTCTATAGAGGAAAGGGAGAACAGGGAATGTCAGGTGAGTAATAAATGATTTGTAGATCTCAATGGGCTCAAAGAACATATTATATCCTGGGACAAACTGGTCCCTAGAACAAATCATGATTTACAAATGGTTCTCTATGGGACTAAGATGCAAGACACTC